CTCACCTTAGGACGGGTTTTAACCAAAATGTGTCTGCCTTGTGGAATGCCCCGCTGATGATCTAGCTCACCTTAGGACGGGTTTTAACCAAGACGTGTCTGCCTTGTGCAATGCCCCGCTGATGATCTAGCTCACCTTAGGAAGGGTTTTAACCAAGACGTGTCTGCCTTGTGGAATGCCCCGCTGATGATCTAGCTCACCTTAGGACGGGTTTTAAATGGCCAAGACAGGGATAGACCCCGTTTGTAACTTGGAGACTGCCCATAGTGTCTGGAATGTTTAATCGATATCTTAACTAGTGTTTTATTGGTTAACCAGTTCAGTACATTTTAAAGTCCACTAATGTTGCTTTGGATAATTCACTAGTTATTCTGGGCTTTGGTGCCCTTACTAGGACAAATCATTGTCAAAACAGTGACAAAAATTGTTTTGGGGGTGCTTCCCCAAAAGGTTCTACTCTTTTATTTATAAAGCACATATAGTCATAAACAGATAGATAGTACATATTTGGTATTAAAATATGCTGGAAGTAGGTAATTAGGTAAAAATATACAGAACGGTTCCTTAGGGAGACAGTTATGATAAAAGGGTTAAAGAATACTGGGCAAGAAAAGACTTTTGAAGGATGATTTCACTGAGTTTTGAATTCTAGTTTGGTGGGGTTTTTGTTGTTATTTCAGTAGCGTAAATCTTATCCACATTCCTCTATATGTGAATTAGTACCCCTCCACCTCACTCACCTGCATCCCCGAACTCTGACTTCTTTAAAGTTCTATCTGTCTGGCTTTATGCAGTTTGAATATGATATATACCTAGGTATTGATTTTTTGGTGGGTATTTTCATATATCTTTAAACGCACTGATTTTTATTGTCTCCTTCCTGTTTTACATAATTTTATTTTAATGTTCTACTTTTATTAGTTGGGATTTTATACATATATCATTCCATATTTCGATCACAAGTAGAATGTACAATTGCTACCACAATCAGTTTTCAAACATTCTTTTTCTACGTGAACCCTTTGACATCGTCTCCCTTTACCCCACCATGCTTTGCATGATTTTAAATACCCAGTTTTACAATTCAATATCCAGTCTGATTCTGATTTTGGCTTTGTGTGTCACACTGTGTTTTTTAATTTTTAGCATAACTTTAAATTTTTTGTTTGATAGCCAAACATAAAGAGTTGCATAAAAGAAACTGAAGTAGATAGTTTTAATGTTAGATCCTATATTCAGCTGCTCAAGAGTTACTGCTATATTTACTGTAAGTGTGGTGTCAGAACTAAGCCCCAGTGGCATTGTGGGTTACGCGTGTGACTGCTCAGTGCAAGGTCAGTCAGCAGTTCAAAACTACCGGCTGCTCTGTGGGAGAGAAATGGAGCTTTCTGCTTCTGTAACGAGTCTCAGAAGCCCAGAGAGGAAGTTCTCCCCAGCCTGTAATGTTGCATTGAGTCATAATTGACTTGATGGCAGTGGCTTCAGTGAGTGGACGCTGAATCATCCATCTGGTGCCCTGGTCTTTTACTGACCTATTGTGTGTTTCCCTAGTGACCCTCACTTAAATGAATCCAGAACCATGCACCTTTTTTAGTTGTGATCCTATTTTTACACAGGAGCCTTGTTGATGTGGTGAACTGTAAAGATAGGAGTTGTCTTGGTGGATTGCATGTTGGGATGCTAACAGCAAGGTCAGCAGTTTGAATCCACCGGCCACTCTGGGGAAATGTTTTCTCTCTCTCTCTCTCTCTCTCTCTCTCACACACACACACACACACACACACACACACACACACACACACACACTTTTTACCCTCACAGTTTGTTTGCAATAAAATAGGTCAGCAGTTTGAATACACCAGCCACTCTGTGGTAATGTTTTTACACACATACATTTTATACAAAATGTATGTATAAATTTGTTACCCTCACAGTTTGTTTGCAATAAAATTCTAGAAATTTAGATATCCAGACCTGAGTTTTCAGCTTGCAGTTGTTGGGACTCATTATAATAAAAGGCAACATTGTTAGGTATTTTAACCACCTAATAGGAAAAAAATGCATTTATTATTAATAGTATCATGAATTCATATTTTAAACTGCTCTGAATCTCAGATTGATAGGCTTTTGTATAAGTAACAAGAAGGTAATGTCTTATACCTTAATAACTGCATTTGCAACTCACCAACTCTCCACAGGACATACAGCTTTCTGTTTAATTTGTAAAGATACAAGTTATCAGTAAGCAAAATAATTTTTTTATTTAAAATATTTGCTCTATACAACCAATTTCTACTACAATAAAGGTATTCTTGTCATTCTAATTCCACAAGTAAATATGTAATTGACATTGAAAACTTTGATAACCTCAGCAATAATGGGTTTTGAGAGAGGAAAACATAAGAAATCCAGCAAAATGGCCTAGCTTTTACTATATTTTTTTGGAATATTATCTCACCATTTATGATGTTCAGCTTTTATCCTCATTCTAAAAGCATTCATTAAATGCCAAATCATATTTGCTCTATGGCAGACTTTCTTCAGTAAGCTGGCTTTCAGATCCCTCTGAGGATGTGGTCCAGGCTTTATGTACACACACAGATTTATATTCAATTTCAGAGGCTTCTTGAGCACAATGCTGTCTTCTTTCAAGGTTTACAGTAGAGGTCATGCTGATCAGGTTTAAGTAAGTTAGAGAACCCAGAACTGGATACCGAAATTTCTAGAAAGCTATTGTAAACAAGTTTGGGGGAAGCAAATTTTTATTTATTTAAACTTGCAGTGTTGGAGAGGAATAAAAACACTGCTCCCCACCCCCACCCCCGAGTGACTGGTAGATTCAAACTGCTTAGAACTCCTGTTTGAATTGCCTAAGACTTAGCATTAAACAATTGCAGTTATAAACTACTGGATCATATGGAATGCATTTAATAGAACGACCTACAATCATGTTGTGTGTTTTGTTTGTTTCTTTGTTCTCATTTGGTTTGGTTTGATGTTGGACAGGAGAAGGGGATACCAAACACTTGATCTTCACATCCCTTGTGATTGTTTAGGAACCCTGGTGGCGTAGTGGTTACACATTGGGCTGCTAACTGCAAGGTCAGCAGTTGAAGCCACCTGCTCTGGGCTTTCTCTCTTGTGAAGCGTTACAGGGTCAGAAACTAGCAAAAGCAGTTCTGTCCTATCCTACAGTGTTGCCATGAGTCAGTGTCGACTTGAAGTCAGTGAATTTGGTTTTGTTTTGAGATTATTTAGAGTTTTTTGTCACTCTTGCAATGCTGAAATCTGGCCATACTAGCATATGTCTGTGGCTCTTATGACACCTTTTCTGAAAGAAATATAAAAACACATCTCAAAGGAGGCTTGAAACTATTTTAACCGTTGCCACCAAGCAATGTGTAGAAGGAAAAGTGGCAGCTCGGTGTGTAACTTCAATATAGCAATGGAGGCAGACCTTGCAGGTGCAATGAAAGCCCTTAAAAAGCCTTTCATGTGCTATATTCCAACTTGTATGTAAATCACATTCAAGAAATCATATGCCATGTACATGTGTAATGTCCACCTTTTCTCAAACCTTTAAATGGGCACATTACTGATGAAGTCCTTAGTGATGGGCAATTTGAATCTAGCTGTGTAGACAAGGGCTGTGGAGAGTAGATTTAAATTTTAAAATGTATTCTTATATACTATAATTTGTTTTCACTAAAAGGTGTATCATTTATAACTGAATTTAATTCAAAATCTCAACTCTGAAATGTTCATATCAAAAGAACTGTACATTTATCTTGACTTTAAGAAAATATTTTGTGCAATACACTATGTGTCATTTTATAACTTAAAATAGTATATGTAATATGTGTATGTCTACCTTTGCATTTATTTCTATAAGCTTAGTGGACTTTTGTCAATATAATTAGGTTTAACAGTATGCCTAATGTACATTATAAGAAATATTACATGTCAGGAAAATGGGAAACAAAAATGAGCCTATTATAAGAAAACTAAATATGGGTCTTTTAAAGTAGCACATTTGCAAAACAGGAACAATAAAAACAATTACAATAATAACTTAATTTCATACTGTATTTGGGAGGGCAAAACCGTTAACAGCAAAAGTGATTTTATTTTGATCACTTATTTCTTTTGTCATGTTACAGCATTAAAGCTAGGGCCTGAGTCATTCAAGTTTGATGGTGCAGTAGAGGCTGTGGCAGTCCGCCAAGCTGAAAAGTACTACATCCTCCGTCCAGAAGTGATTGAAACCTATTGGTACCTATGGCGATTCACTCATGATCCAAGATACAGACAGTGGGGCTGGGAGGCAGCACTGGTAAGGAAGCCTGTATTTCATTTTATCTGCAAAAATGTTCAAATCCGACCCACCTGTTTGTAAAATTTCCGTGTGTTCCCATCTCCGTTACCTCGCCGGTAACTAGGACTTTTTACCTGATGAAGAAACTTCGTCAATTTAAAGTCACATGAGCAGAAGTAAACCTTAGAATGCTGGTTTCTCATCTATTAGAAGTACTTCCTTATTAATTTTACCTCGTTACTGAATAATTATAATGAGTGATTTAAAAGGTAATTTTTCAGTATTATAAATAAGCAGTTTAATTTTCCATCCTGTCTTTTTAATACTTAGTACTGGGGCTGCAGGGGCCACTACAGAAGTGCTGAGGTTCACAAGCTTGGATATGAGATTGCTGCCTACTTATTTCAGAGTATTTCCTTGATATTAAAATCTCTAAACCAAACTCTCTGCCATCACGTCTATCCGACTCATAGCAGTCACAAATAGAATCAGTGGATTGTTACAATTGTTCCATATTAAAAGAAGTACATAAATATGAAAGGAAGATATTTTAATGGTTTGTAAGTAAAGCTCGTGCTTCATTCTTAAAATACCAGCCTTCTTGGGTCCTTATGAATATCAATTCATCGGGGGACACCAACAATCCTTTCACAAAGTACACTTTATTCCCAAGACTAGGGTATCTTAACCTTGCGTATTTCTGAATTATGGTAAGCATTACTCATTTTGATGAATATTTTATTTCAATTATTTAACTTAAGCTTGCAGTCTGGATAGAGTCTGAGGATATCTCAGATAATGTTAGAAATGTTAGTATATTTCTCAGACATGAATGAAGTAGTAGGTCATTATGTACATCAATTTATACAAAGAAATATATAAAGGTTTCAGAGTATCAAACAGAGGGAAGAAAAGTTTAGTGGCTTTATATGCCAGAAACGTGTGCTCAGTGTTTTAGGAATAAAACACACACACGATATTTCTCTCCATAACTCATGCCAGTCACTATGTGCATTAGTTCATGTGGGGATTGGGAAAAGGAAGTTCTTGTCCATTTAAAAAGCCCTTCAGATCATAGCCTTCTTCCTCATTTGCTAGAGCTCCCTAACTTTGAGACTCAATTAGCACTACCAAGGAGGAAGGAACTATGGAAGACTTTTCAGTAAGGAAGTAACGAAACAAAAAAACGGGATTTGATGGTAGTCTGAAAATTGGTTGTTTATAGAAACCACAGCAGTAACCTAGGAATAATGTGATAAAGACTTGAATTAAGGCAGAGACACTGATGTATCACTTGGCATTCAGACCTAGGTAGTTCTTGTGGAGTTTAACAGTAAACAGAGTATCAGTAGCACAAGGTGGTTAACAGAGCAATAATAGCTACGGCATTTATTGATGTTGCTGTTCCCTGGTCCCTTGGTCCAGAATTGGAAAAAGAGCTACTAGTGAAACTCTGTGCAAGGGGTCCTGGCACAGTTGAGAAGGAAGGTAGTCAAGCTCTTGTCATAGAGGCTCAGGGACAGGACACAGACACATACCTGTCAGCAGCAGTGCCTGGAACACTTATGTAAGTCAGGTAATAGTTTATGTAAGAGATAGAAGAGAGATGATAGATAGATAGATACAGATAGATAGATAGATAGATAGATAGATAGATAGATAGATACATACATACATACATACATACATAAGGTGATCTTATAATGAATCTATGTTCCTTAATGCTCTCCAATAGTTAATGATTCTTATTTAGACGACGAAAGGCAATGTAGCCCCCTAGGTTAATACATACGTGCCTTTTAATGTTACATAAATATGCCATCACTTTGAAACAATTGAACCAACGCTACTCTTAACAGTATTCATCACAATCACTTTTACTTGCTATGCATGCAGCTTTCTAATCACAAAAAAGGTGTTTAACCCCAAACCCACACCTTCTGCCACCAAGTAGATTTCAAATGATAAGGACTGTACAGGATTAAGTAGAACTTCCCCATAGAGTTTCTAAGACTGTAAATCTTTACTGAAGCCCATTGGCGCATTTCTTTGCCATGGACCGCCTTGTAGGTTTTAACTGCTGACCTTTTAACCACTCCACCACTAAATAAGGCTAAACAGAAACTGTATACACCAATTCAAACTGACTTACAAATTCAACTTCAATACGCACATAAGGATGGATTTTGTTGGTAGCCCAGGGACTGCCTGTACTTCTGAATCCTGTGGGTCAGAAAGTAGAGAGAAGGATGACAGAAGCACATACTCTCACTGAGAAACACATCAGTCATGTGGTCGCTTCCTAAGGCCCCTGTGTGTGCCCTCACAGGAAGCATGGCTTCATCCTTAATCTGTCATGAGGAGATTTGTCACGCTCAAACTTCAACTCGCATCTATCCACATTTGACTTACAAGATTTAGAATTTTGCCTTTTTGGACTATATGGACACACACAAACTCAAAGTATGATTTGTCAATGGAAGTAATGATACTCTAAATTCATATTTCAAAAGTATACCATGAGGTGAAGATGAGGTAAGGAGACAAAAGAGAAGGCTTTTTTTTTTTGTAATGAATGTTTAAAGCATAACTTACTTAAACCCCTCTGTAAATCATTCCTGTTTTTAGGTAGAGGAAAATGCAAAACTCTGATGCAAAGACTTTAAACCCTAGCTATCAAAATAGAGCTATCAAAATAGAGCAGTCAAATGAGCCACTTGATTAAAGAAACCATTTTATTGCTAATCAGCTTAATGTTAGGAAGGAGGAGAACCTGGAGAGTACTAAAAGTAGCAAGACAAAGCCAGCGAGCCAGACTAGTATTGAGTAGTGACCGACAGCACTTTCATCGGACAGTCTCTCGGAGTGGAGTAGAGAAATAAGGACACTTAGGCTTTCAACTTGTCGTGAATGGCTGATTTCTGAAGTGTTGCGCACCTGCATACACAGTGTTCTGGTTGCTTCGAACAGCAGGATTGTGAGTAGATTCTATTTACTTGCGTTTGTTTAGTCTGGTGCAACGGTGATGTGGAACCAGATTACTCTGTGCCTCATTCCCATGTGTCCAATGAGATATTGAGTACTTACCTCATGGGGTCGTTGTGAAATTTAAATGACTTCAGGCACGTAAAGCTCTTAGAAACCGTTTTTAGCGCATAGTAAGTGCTTCAGAACTCCTCTCTTGTAAGACCGTAATTATTGTAGAAATGCGTATGTGGACTCTTCCTGTCACTGGATAACATCTATACTGCCTAATTCATAGGCTTGTGATAATGCACTATCTGACATTGTAGCTGTATACAGTCAATATGCCCTTTTATTGTTATCACTATGGAGAGCTACTCAGCAGTACATTTTAGTATGCTTGCATTATTGTTTGTCCTTGGGATTCATGAAATTGCGTTTTTATTTCAAATTCAAACTGACTTACATCCTGGAAATACAAAATGTGCTTGCAAGAGTATAGAGTTTTAGAGAAGGAGAAATTCCAAAGCAAGCAGGATACCGCAGTAAACTTTTCTAGTATGAGACTATTTCTATTTGATAATAAATCTTCTTCTTAAAACATCAAATTCTCATACATATCTCTGTGAAGTTTAGCCTGGTTTCTTTACTTGCACACACCTCCACTCCCAATACATACACGCATACAAACTGTGCATTATATTCAAGAAATACAATATTCTTAAAATGCTGAAATTATGTGGAATAGATGTTTTGTCTCCTGTCTTTCACAGGCGATTGAAAAGTATTGCCGAGTGAGTGGTGGATTTTCTGGGGTCAAGGATGTTTATTCCTCTACTCCCACACATGACGATGTGCAGCAGAGCTTCTTTCTTGCTGAAACATTAAAGTAAGTGCGTGCCTCTTTGCATTACTTATTCATCTAGGCTGGTTACTGTATAATCCTGATACAGTAAATTATGTTACTATGTTACACTAAGCTTTATTACAAATATAGTATCATGTGTTTGGGCCTTAAAAGTTTATCCATACCTCAAGAAAAGGACTTAAAATATGAGGTGGTTATTTTATCAGTTTATTACCTTTAAATTATTTCCCCTTAGCTCTTCAATGTACATTAAAATCACTAGGAAGGCCTGGTAAAGCATAGGTTACTAACCCTTATCCCCAAGTTTTCTGGCTCAGTAGGCCTGAGATGAAGTCTTAAGAATTGACATTTCTGACAGGCTCTTAGATGATGCTGATGTTGATCCCAAGACCAAATCTTGAGAAATCTCTTCAGAATAATCAATGGAGTTTTAGTGGTACTAGATGGCGTATGACCATAATCACCAACTTCACAGTGAGGTTTCTTATAAACATATACACAAAAGTAATATTGGAAAAGGGGGGAAAGACAACTTTATTATTGGGGCTTACACTTAAAATCCCAGGCTGAGCTCTCTCTGGTAAGTTAGCATGGAAGAAGACAGAGTCCTTAAATATGGCTACTTCCCTAAATATCTTTAAAGTGCATAGCTCTTGCTAAACCAAAACCAAAACTTACTGCCATCGAGTCAATGCTGACTCATAGCGACCCTATAGAACAGTGTAGAACTGTACCTGTGAGTTTCCGAGACTGTAACTCTTTACAGTCTTCCTGTCAAGGAGCAAGCAGCTGGTGGTTTTGAACTGCTGATCTTGAAATTATCAACCCAATATATAACACTATACCACCAGCACTCCATAACAGAATCTCTTGATAGCTTTTGTAAATTCTATGTTTCTAGTTCCTATATATACCTATATATCTTATATTTAAGATTTGTTCAACATATACTTTTTGAATATCTACTAAATTCTAAACATTGATCAGTAGACAAAAAAAATGATGAAACCCCCTGCCTTCTTAGAGTTTTAGTATCCTAAATATCCACCTGATTCTGATATATTTTTTAAAATTATCTCTGGTACTATTTCCCAGCTTTTGAGCTTGTGCATCATCGAACTCTGTTTGTTCTTACCTCCCAACATTTCACTAAGCCTTCCTTTACGTTATTGATCTTCCCTGTCCTTTTCAAATCTATATTTGACCCAAATCCAGACCTGGGATCCATGACATTGAAACAATAAGTACTGTTAACTAAAATGCACTCAATTTTCAAATTTTCCCATTTGTTACAAAATTATACATTATAGCTGTCTTTTACCCCAATCTAGGATCCAATAAAGGATTATTTGTTATATTTGATCATCCTATCTCTTTTAATCTAGAACAAAACTCCCCTGTGTTTTGTGTCTTTTATGGCATTAATATTTTTAAAGAGTTAAAGGCAGTTGTTTAGAAGAGTATCATTCAATTGAATTTTTCTTATGGTTTCCTCATGATAAGATGTGGGTAAATGATTTGGGGCATGTGTATTACACAGATGATAGGCAGGTCCTTCTCATTGCATCTGCCTGGGGCTAACTAAGGGAGACTTAGCTCCCAAGTATATCACTGAACTCCTGACACTGATTGCAAGTTTGGGTGTTTCCTAACTGCCCTCAGGTGCAATAATTCTCTAGAACACACTAAAGCTATTATATTCACAATTATGGTTTATTACAAGGAAAACATACAGCTAAAAATCCATCACAGGAAAAATGCTAGGGCAGAGCCTGTTTCTACTTGGCCCAGGATGTGTTAACCACTGTGCAGAATTTTTACTGGGGCTTCATTAAGTAGACATGACTGCCTGATCAACTGTTCACCCGATTGAACTCAATGCCCAGTTTAACTGGTACCATGTGACTCAAAATACCTACCCTACATAGTATGGTTGATCTTTCTGGCTTGGTTAGCCTCCACCCAAACAGTCCTATCCCATGATCCAGTGTGTCCAACCCTGCCTTAAACAAAGACTTGCCCATCAGATGTGACATAGATCACTTCTCAAAAGCCAAGGGCAAAGCCACATTCTTCACTACACAGCACATGATGTAAAGAATTACATTTAGGCCATTATTGGTGATTTTTAAATTTGAATTTAAGGTTAAATTTTATCATAAGGTCATATAAAGATATCTTTTTGCTTTCGTAATTAATAAATGCTATGTGGAGTGTTGTCTTTGAGACCATGTGTATATCTTTATCCCACAGTCTTTTATCCTGTGTTAGCAGTATTCATTGTTGATTCTTGTCTGAATCAACTATACCCATCAACTCCTACCCCCTGCCAATGAGTTGACTTCAACTCATAGCAACTCTTCAGGAGAGTAGAAATTCCCCTTTGGATTTCTGAGGTCATAAATCTTTACTGGAGCAGAAAAGTTTGTCTTTTTCTGTAGAGCAGCTGGTGGATTTGAACCACTGGCCTGTGTAAGAGTCCAATGCTTGCCCTGCAGTGTTACCAATAACAGTAATAGTGTTACAGTGTAACAGGATGAAGTAGTATTCAGGATAGTGGTTATAAGGTAGATGTTACACACTGACTTATATTCCCCTAAATGTTGTTTTTGTTAGGTGCCATTGAGTCCGTTCGGACCCATAGGGACTTTCTGCACAACACTGCCCAGTCCTGCACCGTCCTCACAATTGCCTGAGCCATTGTTGCAGCTGTTATGTCAGTCCATCTCCTTGAGGGTTTTCTTTTTCCTTCACTCTGCTGCTCTACCCTACCTACTAGCTCCTTCTCCAGGGACCCATCTCTCCTGACAACGTGTCCAGAATATGGAAGACACAGTCTTGCGTCTTTGCCTCTATGGAGCACACTGGCTATATCTCTTCCAAGATGGATCAGCTTGTTCTTTCAGCAGTTCATGATACTTTCAAAAATCTTGTAAAAAGTATCCGGAATCAGAATTGCTCTAGACTCTTCAAGAGCAATGGTGACAGCTAGAAGCATTGGAGAAATTTCATCAAACTTAATGAGAGAAGATGAATTCCTTGAATTCTAAATATTTACCTACATTAGGTTTCAAAAATCTGTTCCCATGTGCTCTTTTTAATTAAGCTTTTGGGAGATGTGCTGTACCAAGAAAAAAAAACAGCTATAACCCAAAAACAAAGACATGGGATCCAGAGAGGGAATGAAGAGAGATAACTACTCCAGATTGAATTAGGTAGACGGTTATGAGAGAAACTGCTTGAAGACTGGATTTATAAAATGGGATCAAAATGTTTTAAGAGATGATTTATGCAGTTGGTGGCAATTTTAAGTTTCTTATTAATGTTAAGTACATGTCTGTTAATTGTGCAAGGAAGGAAAAGCTGTGACTACCTTTAAGTTAATGTGAAATTACTGAAGACTTGTTTAGAGTCTCGATGGCTTTGTAGAAAGGGTAAAACAACAGGACCCTGCCATATTGTCCCTCTACAAGAGAGAGAGTTGCATTTTTTGTTCATGGTTTTGCTTCCTTCAAAAAACGATCTCTTTGTTGGTTTTAATAAAATAACAGTTGATCAAAAGTCCCTTAATTTAAAAGAATTCAAGGAACATGACTGCTAGAATACCACACTTACAGAGGAGTGCCAGTTTCCCTGAAGCACTCCATAATTGTTAAATGAAGTATCTCCCATTTGATCTCTATGATTCTACCGCTTTGTACCATTTACTCTCATAAATCAGTGTCTTTTAACAAAAACCTTGAATGACAAGTGTTTCATTTTAGAACTCCACCTCCAAGTGCACAGTCATCCATCTGAACATAATTAGGCTTTCCTTGAATTTCAGATGAATAATTTTGCATCTTTACCTGAAAGTCTGATAAATTAAAAAAAGTTTTCATACTAAGGCTTCATTTTAATTAGTATTCCTGTGTTCATATAAAAGTATATCACATTAAAATGCTTAAGAGAAATAACAGGTGAGTTAGGAACATAGTCTTTTAAATAAGTTTTGTTATTAAAGGAAAGATATTACCATAAAGAAGACGAAGTTTAACATAGTATGCCTCTACTCTTAGTGGCATCAAAATCTGGGCAGAAATATTGTGTGTGTGTGTGTGTGTGTGTGTGTGTCTCACATTGCTTTTAAAACTCACATAACTCGAATATTCAAAATACGACAAAATTTCAGAAAATTAAAAGAATATGTTAAGAATTTTAAATAAATACTCAGTTATAGGAAAAGATGTTACATAAGATGTTTCTGTTATAATAACAAGAATTGCTTAGTGCTCATTAAATAAAGATGACACATCCACACAGTAGACAATTGCTAGTAATAGTTGCATTTTACGGCCTTTTTAATAACATGGGAAATTATTTATAATAAGCTATGGCACATACATTCATATATAAGACAGATGAACTTGTTAATGCATAGTTGAACAACATCATAACGGGCACTGTGGTTTAGCTTAATTGATGTTATTTGGGTCAAAAAAAATGTTACACTTTTGCATTCAGAAAAAAAAATTAAATAAGATTTGCAGCCATATTTTTCGTCTTCAAGTATAGTTGCTGTCTTCCTGTCGAATCGAAAGAAAGTTTTTTGAGCTGCAAAAATATTTAGAAGTTATTCGGCCCAACAAACATCATTCTAAGCCTCCTCCCAAGAGTCCCAGTGCTGAAATCACCTTGCAATATACAACTTCCCAAAGGCAAGGGCTTTTCCTCTGCACTGCACTCGTCTCCCCAGTGCCTCGCATGTAGTATACCGGAACTCAACATAATTATGTTTTCATTTAGTAAATCAACTTTAGCCTGTGTTATGTAAGGGGGGAAAATTCTAGTAAAAAGTTGTTTTTAATTATATCACTTTATTCATATCTAGCTGTGTTTTTTAAGATACTCCCTTATCATCCTATATAAAATTTTAAATTGCTCCCTTACTTTAACCCTGTCATTTTCCTAGGTCTACTTTTCTGTATAGCAGTTTTCTTCTTAAACCATATACCATGTATACTCTTGTGTAAGCCAAGTTT